TCAGTGCACAATGGTGAAATATTCCCCATGTTATCCATAGCTCAATTTGTGGCATTCCTTCCCATAGAATTCAGTGCACAATGGTGAAATATTCCCTATATTACCCATAGCTCAATTTGTGGCCTATCCTTCCCATAGAATTCAATGCACAACAGTGAAATATTCCCCCATATTATTCATACCTCAATTTGTGGCATATCCTTCTCATAGAATTCAGTGCACAATATTGAAATATTCCCATATTATCCATAGCTCAATTTGTGGCCTATCCCTCCCATAGAATTCAGTGCACAATGGTGAAATATTCCCCATATTATCCATAGCTCAATTTATGGCATATCCTTCCCATAGAATTCAATGCGCAATGGTGAAATATTCCCCATATTATCCATAGCTCAATTTGTGGCCTATCCCTCCCATAGAATTCAGTGCACAATGGTGAAATATTCCCCATATTATCCATAGCTCAATTTATGGCATATCCTTCCCATAGAATTCAATGCACAATGGTGAAATATTCCCCATATTCATATCTCAATTTGTGGCATATCCCTCCCATAGAATTCAGTGCACAATGGTGAAATATTCCCCATATTATCCATAGCTCAATTTATGGCATATCCTTCCCATAGAATTCAATGCACAATGGTGAAATATTCCCCATATTATTCATATCTCAATTTCTAGCATATCCTTCCCATAGAATTCAGTGCACAATGGTGAAATATTCCCCATATTATCCATAGCTCAATTTGTGGCATATCCTTCTCATAGAATTCAGTGCACAATGGTGAAATATTCCCTATATTACCCATAGCAAAATTTTTGGCCCATCCTTCCCATATAATTCAATGCACAATAGTGAAATATTCTCCATATTATCCATAGCTCAATTTATGGCATATCCTTCCCATAGAATTCAGTGCACAATGGTGAAATATTCCCCATATTATTCATATCTCAATTTGTGGCATATCCTTCACATAGAATTCAATGCACAATGGTGAAATATTCCCCATATTATTCATATCTCAATTTGTGGCATATCCCTCCCATAGAATTCAGTGCACAATGGTGAAATATTCCCCATGTTATCCATAGCTCAATTTGTGGCATTCTTCCCATAGAATTCAATGCACAATGGTGAAATATTCCCCATATTATTCATATCTCAATTTGTGGCATATCCCTCCCATAGAATTCAGTGCACAATGGTGAAATATTCCCCATGTTATCCATAGCTCAATTTGTGGCATTCTTCCCATAGAATTCAATGCACAATGGTGAAATATTCCCCATATTATTCATATCTCAATTTGTGGCATATCCCTCCCATAGAATTCAGTGCACAATGGTGAAATATTCCCCATGTTATCCATAGCTCAATTTGTGGCATTCTTCCCATAGAATTCAGTGCACAATGGTGAAATATTCCCCATATTATTCATATCTCAATTTGTGGCATATCCTTCACATAGAATTCAGTGCACAATGGTGAAATATTCCCCATATTATTCATATCTCAATTTGTGGCATATCCCTCCCATAGAATTCAGTGCACAATGGTGAAATATTCCCCATGTTATCCATAGCTCAATTTGTGGCATTCTTCCCATAGAATTCAATGCACAATGGTGAAATATTAACCATATTATCCATGGCTCAATTTGTGGCATATCCTTCCCATAGAATTCAATGCACAACAGTGAATTATGCCCATAGAAACCATTGCACAATTGGTGGCATATTTTTCCTGCAGAATCCCAATGCACAATGGTGAAGTATGCCCCCATAGAAACTTAAGTTTAATTGGTAATTTATCCTCCTTACTTGTGAAGTGTTCATGATCTGACGTATATTTTTCTTCTCTCATCAGTCAAGAAATATGGCTGGATTGAACAGCAGAAACAGATGATTTCAGAAAGCTTCTAGACTGACATGTCATAATGACATCAATACTATCAGTTACATCGGCTAAAGCTAGAGGCCTTAAGATAACCACCATTGATTTGTAGTGAGATGACAATCATGCTTCAAATTACAAGTATTTTAGGGCTGTGGTACGTGTACAATGTAGCTACCCATTGAATAAACATACAAGTGCTTATCAGCCATGACTGGAGTATCAGCTTAGGTGAAGTGTATTTAAACACAAGATTTCCATGCTGCGTGTCTCATACCATGCTATTGTAGAGTGTGCAAGGACTGAATAAATAAATATTTTTTTTCTTGTTTGTTCTATCATTATTTTTATTATTTAGAGACAATTGTTTTATTGACACGCTACACTCGTGGTTGCCACGAAAAGGGAATCAGACAAATTCAGCAAGATTGATGATGAAAATTATGATAATAAAGACCGGGACCAACTAGACAATTACACCAGGGTTTTTTCTAAACGGGGCAACAGGGGTGCAGCACCCTGATACTCTTCACTGGTGCCCTCTTACCGAATTGCTGATTGAACTGCAAGTCATAAATATATTTTTTGAGCCGTGCACTTCTGTGCTGCCATACAAAATGAAATCTTTCTCAAATATATTTTTCTTCGTGAAAACTTCCCAGCAACACCAGCTGACAATGTGTCTTGACACCAAAATTTCTCCAAAAATATTTCAATGGCTATAGATACTGTTAAAACAGCGCAGACACCTTCCGATATGGCGTTTCCAGGTCGATCCACCATGTTGTTTCTGTGCTAGCTACTCTCGCTCCGCTCCCTCCACTCCCTCGCCTGTGTGTGCTCCCTCTTGTTCATTTTTTCTAGAAAAACCTCTGTACACAGTAGTTTGTAATTTTCAATCAGGTTCACCACCCGCATTTATTTATCACGCCACTTAGAATGGCATTTTTTTTTTTCACAGTACCTGTAACAATGTTTGTATGGTCATATTAGAAACTCTTAGAATTGAAATTCAACTGCTATGTGTTGAAATTTTGCTATGTATACATCAGATGCAACACATATTTAACAGTGTGATGCATGGATGTGGCATATTCAAACCAACTTTAACTGGTACTGTTGTCAAATATGCACATGCTACCATTCTATCGATATCTTCTGTTCCCTGCTGTTCTCTGTTACCGACATCACATGCACAATTCGATAAATACAGATTTCATTCGAATGCAATAAAAATAAACATTGCTTGAAAGTCATAATTAGTGTTGGTCACATTGGGCCATTTCAGTTTATATCTGCACCCCCCCCCCC